GTGTGGGGACTGATGGCACACAAACAGGTGATGGTATCCGTTTCGGACAACTCGTAAGTGATGGCATCCTCTTTGAACACTCGGATGTCGTGGTCGTCAGAGCCCACTAATAGCTGTTTTGTAGGAATGAATGAAAGTTTTAAATAATTTTATAAAATAATAACCAAATCATAAAATATTTATTAAACATAAATTCATATTTAATAATCACATTACTCTCTAGTGTTTAGATACTATCATATATTTAATAACATATTCGGGGAAAAGAGAGATAAATATTTTTAAAAGAGGCTTAAAATATAGAGAATATAATGAGAGTATTAGCGATGAGTTTGTATGCATTCATACACTACTCATCACTCCATTATACAGTAGAGTACTGTTTAATATGAAGAGACATTTCATTTAAACCTCATTTTGTCCGTCTTCATCGATGTCTGCCAATGCCATACATGTTATGTTATCTCCCGTTACAGTCCAATAGCTGTCTGTCCCCTCGTAGTCGAAGCCTTGTAGCGCACAATTACCACNGTTTAATATGAAAAGACATTGCATTTAAACCTCATTTTGTCCGTCTTCATCGATGTCTGCCAATGCCATACATGTTATGTTATCTCCCGTTACAGTCCAATAGCTGTCTGTCCCCTCGTAGTCGAAGCCTTGTAGCGCACAATTACCACCAACAATAGCTAATGGCTTATGTATTGTCCCGATTTCGCCTATAATTACTACATTTGCACCGTCGGGTACCTTACAATACAATTGTATAGTCTTTAATTAATTAAATCAAATTTAAGGGGATCATTTTGCAACAGTTTTATTAATGTGAAGTATATTTTGAAAATTAATTAAATTTAATGATTCAGATTTCTCTAAAACGTAAAATTGGTTTTTGAATTTGTATCATATGTTAGACAATATGAATTCACTGATCAAACTAAGCTTTGTATGAATTTATTAAACAAAATGAAAATAACTGTATTTTGAAATATAATAGCTTTGAATTGAATGTCACAATTGTATGACACAATTAAATTTTACTGAAAATTGTGGTCTTTTTTCATTGAGATCATAAATGTATGAATGAAAGCCTATTCTTGTAATATAATAGACAACAAAATATGAACCTCTTTGTAGAAAAGGTCGGTGTTATTGAGCACATCGTAGACCATAATAGAGGTGGGAGTGCCGATCACCAGCACATCATTGTTAGGGCTACTGTTGGCGCTGTTGGCTCGGGACGACTTATTACTCTGGTTTGGGTTATTATTTTGATTATTATTTATTTGGTTCAATGGTTTCAATTTGCCAGTGGTTAGTGAGTTGACGGTTTGATTAATATTCAAGAAATTGATATCATTGGCAGATGCGCTCATCACCCA